TCTTCGTCTTCTTCTTCGTCGCCGGCCTGGCCCGCATGCTCACCGTGGGCAAGCTCTGAGGCGGCATGGGCCGGGGCGGGCGGCCGCGGGCCCGGCGGCCGCCAGCCTCGCTGCGGGGTCGCGGCCGGCGGCCTCGCGGCGCGGCCGCGCGCGCGGGGGGGCGCGGAGAGCGCCGGGTGCCCTCTGCTTGCTCGGGCGGCGGGGCCGGAGGCCGCTCCAGCCCCACCCTCCGCACTCCCTTGCCGCCGTGCCTCCCCCCTGCCCTCCCTGCCCTCCCTCTGTATTCGCCTCCCTCCCCCTCCTTCCCCTCCTCGCGCCACCTCCATCGCCCCCCCTCCTCCCTTCCGCTCCCTGCCTCCCTCCCCCGCTTCTCCCCGCGCGACCGCCCCTGCCGCCTCGGCGCGGTCGTCGTCGTCCTCCTCCTCCTCCTCCTCCTCTCCCTGCCTCCCGGCACCGCCGCCGTGTTTTTTTGTGACGCGGGCGCCCGCAACCCGCGAGAGCACCGCGGGGCCGCCGCAGGCGCGCCGGAAAAAAGAGAAAGACATGTGGGCTTTGGGGGGAGCTTGCGGTGGGGCCACGAAGCTCAAGCAGTGACGAAGCGTCTTGGCTCGCCTACAGCCCTACCAAACAATGTCCTAAGAACCTTTTGTGATTTCCACGAAATGTTCTTCGAACATTTCTGGTTGATATTGTTTTGTTTTAACACATTGGGTTTATGTTCTAAGAACATCGTTTCTGTTATTAGAACACTTTTTGGTTCTAAGAACATTTCGTGGTAGGACTATAGGAATGCTGGGACGGTCGGTCTCTGCTCAAGAAGCGCGTGTTGTGTGTGTGTGTGTGCCGACGTGGGTGCGGGACCGCATGCGGGCAGCACCATTGGGGCCTTGGGTGGAGCTCCCTCTGGGGCCACGAAGCGTGTGTGAGGGGTGTGCCGACGTGGGTGCGGGGCCGCATGCGGGCGGCACCATTGGGGCCTCGGGTGGAGCTCCCTATGGGGCCACGAAGCGTGTGTGAGGGGTGTGCCGACGTGGGTGCGGGGCCGCATGCGGGCGGCACCATGGAGCTACCTGTGGGGCCACGAAGCGTATTTCACATCGCCAAGGTGTGTGGCGATCTGTGCTGCCTTGGAGCAGGCCCATCCTGTTACCCTTCCGGTGATGATTTGTCCTGATGCGGAGCAGGTCCCCCTTGTCACCTTTCGAGAGGCGAGCCAGCCTGCTGTGGAGCGGACCCCCTTGTTGATTTGTTGCCCTTCAGGCAAGTTGCGACCTGTGCCGCTGTAGGGCGGGCCTCCCCTGCTAGTGACGGTCTGTCCTGCTGTGGAGCATGTCCCCTCTTTCTAATCGTATTCTCGCGAGTCTTGTGCGGAGGCTTTGTGTGTGGGGGGAGCGTTGCGCCTTGCGCAGGGCTCTTGTGAATGCCCTCGGATTGGATCCCCTCGCGCGTGCTTGCGCAGGACAAGGAGGAGGAGGAGGAGGAGGAGGCCCAGAATCAGCACGATAGATATGGGCCCCGTGCGCAAGAACCCTTTGCGCGCCATGTGTGCCAGCACGCTTGCTCCAGCATTCTTGAGCAACACATCCAAATACGTAATACTCCTCAGGTGGCAATCCATCGGGCCCCTTCTGCCACCGTCCAAGGCGGCGACCTGTGCTGCCGTGGACCAGGGCCCCTCTCCCTGTCACCTCTGCGGCGGCGGCCCGAGCAGGTCCCCCCCCCCCCCCACCTGCCGCCCCCGAGGCCGCGCGGCGATCCGTTCTCTTCGGTGGAGTGGCGGCGGCCCGTCCTTCCGGAGGAGGAGGAGGAGGAGGAGGAGGAGGAGGAGGAGGAGGAGGAGGAGGAGGAGGAGGAGGAGGAGAGGAAGGAGGGAGGAGGAGGAGGAGGAGGAGGAGGAGGAGGAGGAGAGGGAGGAGGGAGGAGGAGGAGGAGGAGGAGGAGGAGGAGGAGGAGGAGGAGGAGAGGAGGAAGGCGGAGGAGGAGGAGGAGGGAGGAGGGGAGGAGGGAGGAGGAGGAGGGAGGAGGGAGGAGGGAGGAGGGAGGAGGGAGGAGGGAGGAGGAGGAAGGAGGAGGAGGAGGAGGAGGAGGAGGAGGAGGAGGAGGAGGAGGAGGAGGAGAGGAGGAGGAGGAGGAGGAGGAGGAGGGCGGAGGAGGGAGGAGGAGGAGGGAGAGGGGGCGGAGGAGGAGGAGAGGAGGAGGGAGGAGGGAGGAGAGGAGGGAGGAGGGGCAGGAGGAGGGGAGAGGAGGAGGAGGAGGAGGAGGAGGAGAGGAGGAGGAGGAAGAGGAGGAGGGAGGAGGAGGAGGGAGGAGGAGCGGCGGCAGCTCGTGACCTGCCACGCCCGCTCCCGGGGCACGCGCTCGGGGACGGGGGGACGGCGTGGGCCAGCCGCCGCCCCCGCGCACGCGGGAGCGGCGCCTGCCCCGAGGGGGGCTCCTGCCCTCTGCTGCGCGACTCGATCCTCCCGATGCCTCCTCGCCCTCCTGCCCCCAGCGCCTCTCCTCCTCCTCCTCCTCCTCCTCCTCCTCCTCCTCCTCCTCCTCCTCCTCCTCCTCCTCCCCCTCCTCCTCCTCCTCCACCTCCTGCCCCTCTGCACGCCCCTCCGTACGCCGCGCCGTCGATCTGCGCTTCTTTGTTTCGGGGGGGAGGGGGGGGGGGGGGCGAACGTTACGAACAGACCAGCATCAGGATGATCGTGCCGAGATGGGCGTGGGTAGCATGAGAGGGGCAGCGCAGGGCCACAACGTTTCACTTGTGTCTCATGCTCCCTCCTCTTCCTCCTCTTCCTCTTCCTCTTCCTCTTCCTCTTCTTCCGCCCCCTCTTCCTCTCCTGCAGGTCCAGCACTGCAGGCGCTTGGCACCGAGGAGTGCACTGGTGGTGTTGGTGTCGAGGCCCAGACGGGACTCCAGACCCTCTTCCTCTTCCTCGCCGTCCTACTCCCGACTCCTCTTGATCTCTCCTCTTTCTCCTCTCTCTGCCTCTTCTTCCTCCTCCTCCTCCTCACCGTCTTTCTCTCCCTCCTCCGCCTTCCTTCTCTCCTCTTGTTTCTCCATGCTCCCCTGCCGGCGCGTTTCCGCGGCCACGCTGCTTCTCGGCCTCCAGGTCCCCGCGGGCGCGGGCCTGGCACTCTCGGCGCCGGCCCCCGGGCATTTTGTTTTGTGTGTTGCCATCCGAGATTGACACCCCGACAGTGGGAGGAGGATGAGGAAAAAGGATGAGGAAGAGGAGGAGGCGGAGGAGGAGGAGGAGGAGGAGAGTGCACCTAAACTAGTTTTCCAACCGCTGGTTTCTTCTCGATTTTGGCCGTTTCCGGGCCCCTGGGCCATCAACAATGGATCGGGGGCGAAAAACTACCCCCAGGGAGGCGGTCGGGACCTCTGTGGTCGAGAGTGCGCCCCAGTAGAGGCCGACTCCAGGTCGTACACAGCCTGCGCGGCGGTCGCTTCTGGTCGCGGCAGCTGCTCGGCGGTGCTGTTCGCGCCTCCCACCGCGTGCTCGCGCGAAGGGCGCCAGCATCTTCCAGTGCGACTTCTGGGCCGTGTACAGCGACACGAAGACGTGGCTCACCCCTGGCCCTCCGGTTCCGCCGCCGGCACCGCGTTTGCGTGCGCACCCCGGACCACCGCCCACCCGCCCGCTCACCCTGTGAGAGGCAGGGACTGGGAGGAGCTGGAGGAGGATACATAGGACACATAATGGAGGATGACGATTAATAAATGACCGGGGGTCGTGTTCACGCGGCGGCGCCCGGGATGACGATTAGAAAAAACCGGCCGCGGGCTGGAAAACTATTTTTTTTATCGTTCCGTTCTCCTCCAGTCAGAAACTTGTGCAGAAATAGAAGGAGACTCTTTTTTTAATCGTTCTCCCCCATTTTTGTTTTCTTCATCGTCATCCCGCGTTACAGTAAACACGATCGGAGATCTTGCCACGAGAAACCTTCCCAGACCCCCGACGTCATGATTTTTTCATGACGCGACCCCCAGAGGTCCAGACCCATTCCCCAGGACCGGTTTTTCATCCCGAGTCGTTTTTTGACGGTCCCGAGGCCCAGTAAGGGCCCTCGGAGGCCGAAAATAGCGGAAAGCCTCCCGTCGTGATTTTTTCATGACTCGAGGAGGTCTGGGTTGGGGGCACCGTGCTCAGCGTTGCTGCAGCGTTGCCGAGGCGCCCCCGAGCCTCTGCGGGCCCCTGGGGGCCCCTCCGGGGGGCGAGAGAGGCATCCGGCGGGGCACCTGCGGGCCGTCCCAGCCCGCGCCTCCCCAGACGCTGCTTTGCGCCCGTGGGTGCTCGCTTTGGCTTTGGGAGGAACTCCCAGCCATGCGACGTCCAGATTTCCTCAGGACGCCCTGACTCCAGATCCGCCCTATGTACTTTGGCCTTTTTTCCAGCTTTAAAAATTGCGTCGGAAATCCACCGATAGGAAGCCGAACAAGTGGGGCGGAGATTTCTGCACCCAACGCAACATGGGGCGGAAATCCACAGAAGTAGGGCGGAAACAGCAACAGAAAAGTAGGGCGGAAATTGGCATCAGCGGGGCTTGAAAAGTAAGGCGGAAATTCCAAGCCCTACTTACGAGTTTCCCCAAAGTAGGGCGGATCCGGAGTCAGGGCCGACCCTTTCCCCGGGACCGAGTCGTCTTCTGACGGCCCGAGAGGCCCGCCGAGGGGCTTGCCCGGGCCCCAACATAGCCCAAAAAAGCGCCCCGTTCCGGATTTTTCCCGGAAAGGGCAAGAGCCCAGGGTTCTATTTGTACTAGGTAAACCTGTCCCCCGGTGCCTGCTTGAAGGAGGCCGGCGAATTTTTTCCCTGATAAATAACGAGCCGGCGAATTGCCGGCGAATTTTTTCCCTGGTAAATAACGAGCCGGCGAAGTGCCGGCGAATTTTTTCCATGATAAATAACGAGCCGGCGAATTAAAATTTGAGGATGTCTCGAGCGAAACGCTTGTTTCCCAGCACGGCCCGACCCCAGCAAGACCCCACCCCAGCACGACCACAC